CGGAAGTGGGTGGAGATTGCGAAGGCGAGACTGATCGACAGGACGAGGATAAGGATGACGAGGAGGAGATGGGGCAGGATGATGGAGCGCGCAGAAGAAGACGCGAGAGGAGGTGATGAGCCAGAGCAGGGGAGTAAGAACACGCGGGGATGCGGGGTGTGGGATGAGGAAATAGGTTGAATATAGGGAGATCAATGGGTGGGGGATGAGTGGGGCGATGGGGAAGGGACGAGCGAAGAGGACTATGATTATGATGATGGTAACGATGATGGTTCTGATTACTGTGTTGATGATGGTGATGATGATGATGATGATGATGACTATGTTGATAATGGTTATGCCCACGATGGTGAATACAACTACGACGATGCTGCATGCGATGACGATGCTGCTGCTGCTGCTGCTGCTGCTGATGATGATGATGATGATGATGATGATGATGATGGCGATGTTGGCGGCGACGACGTATTTACCTCGGCGCGTGCATCCAGCGATTTATCACAGCCCAACGCGCATGAGGTCTTTTCGTAGATGGATTGCATGCGCGGCAATCGTTATTTAGCAGGTGAAAGAAAAAAGGAAAAACGAGAGAAAGAGAAGTATGTACATAGATGACAGGAGAGAGCGAGACAGAAGGAGAGAGAGAGAGAGAGACAACGAAAACGAGAAAAAGTACAATGGTAAGACGCAGCTGCGAACTTGAATAAACTTGGGAAACTGTGCACAATGAATTGCGCTCAGCTCTGTCCCCCTTCCCTCTGCCTTGCGGCACAGCTCACTTGCTCCCCAGGTTCTGCTTTCGCCAGCGCGCCAAGCCCTGGGCAGCCGCGCGAAGTTTCGTGGTCGTGGACGTACTCGTGCCGTACCTCACCGAAGAAGTGACGAAACTGCTGTTCCCGTCGCCAGACACGCAACCTCATCGCGTGCCCCGCTGGCGTGCGAAACATTGGAATACAACGGCCCGAACCGCTCGGTCGGGCAAGGCGGCGCATCTGGTCAAATGGGGACCTTGCGCCACGCGTCGACGACCTGTGCCTGCGATGATCACGCCGGCTTCGCGCAATCGGAGAGGTCGGTCTGTGGGCAGAAAGGTTGGCGATTCGAATGGGGGTTGACATGGGGCCATGTACCGCGGGTTCGCGTCGTGCCGACTCTGGCGTTGGCTCCTGACACCGCGGAGATCGTTCAACCTGGAACGATCGGCCGGTTCTGTAATGTCAGATCGTTCGTCATCGACCGATTCTGGGTCGCCGGCGACGTCCAGCGTTGAAAGCGGGGGTCGCCGCCGCTCGACACGACCGAACCTACCCGTGATAGAACATGTGCCCCCGCGCGGCGCGCGCACACACGCGGCCAAGCAGGCCTGCGCAAACCTCGCGTCGCCCACGGGGCAACTCTGCAGTGCCTCGTGCGTCACAATGCAAGGCCTCATTTTCCGCTCTCCGCTGAGCTGCCCAGAGATTGTAGCGTGGCCACCTGTCCTGCGTTGAGCTGGACCTCCCGCAGTGATATCGTGAACGCGCGTCGTACTCTTGAAGATCGCTTGCTCCAATATTTGCAACCCCCGCGACACCTCTCGAGAGCCTCTCAGTGCCACCTCTGCCCCCGCTTCCGCCCCACCCGCCGCGCACCCTCCACAGCTTCACGGCAAGAAGGACGGTGCAATCGGTGGATGTGAGCTTCCCTCAAGGGCCAATTTGTGCCCCCTCTTGGGAAGGCCGTTCGTCTCCTCCAGAAGGGTCGGCCCACTGGACCATGATGCCCTCGCCGTTCAGACCCCCTGGACTCTGCCCGCCTCCTTCAAGCTGTACGTCGGGGGTGTCTGCGTCATGCTGCGGACGGGAGCCCTCGGCTGGGCCACTGCGAGCAGATGCAGGAGGAAAAGGAGGAGGAGGAAGAGGAGGAGGAGGTTCCTCGTGTGCACTGCAGACCTGGCGTCCCTCTGCACGCCCAGCAATGTGTGTCGCAGAGCTCTGGGCCCAGACCGCCTTCTCAAATGCCGCCTTGATCGCTCCTTTGATTTTGACGTGAGGGGCGCGTGAGAAGCAAGCTATCTCCTCGAATTGCTCAGCGACGCTGTGCAGAAGGCTGTGTTTCGAAGTGCTCACCGAACCCATCTCCACCGACACATCGGCGGGCGAGAGCGCGAACTTCTTCGCACCCATCTCAACACGGCACTCCCGCATGATGCCGTTCGCTGCGAACCCTCATGGGTACACCATCCTGCCGGATACCCTCAGGGAGCATTCTGCACATGCGCCGCCACGACCTGCGCGGCCTCCGGGCACACGGAGCCGCCCACGCAGCTCCCCTCCCCCGAACCCAGGGGGTCGGCCAGGCCGGTGGAACCGCCACTGTCGAGCCCTCCGAGCCAAACCTGCCCGCCGACGTTGGAGCCCGTTCCGGCTCTGAGAGGGCGGCCTTGGCTTTCAACGCGATCATGCCCCCCTTCACCTCCTGGTCCTCTGCTCTGGCCGGCACCACGGACGTACCGACGATCTCAGCCCTCTTCTCCGAGGGATTGGCAGTGGCCAGGAAGTGTAACACTCATTTGCGAGAGTCGATGGTGATGATGATGATGATGATGATGATGACGATGATGATGATGATGATGATGATGACGACGATGATGATGATGATGATGATGATGAGGACAGTGATGAGGATACTAATGCTGATACGGCAAATTCGGATGATGATGATGATGATGATGATGATAATGATGATGATGATGATGGTGGTGGTGGTGATGGTGATGGTGGTGATGATGCTGACGATGCTGATGATGTTGATGATGCTGATGATGATGCTGATGATGCTGATGCTGATGCTGCCGATGATACTGATGCCACTGCTGCTGATGATGCTGCTGCTGATGATGCTGATGGATGCTGATGCTGCTGATGATAATTACGATGATGATCATGATACTGATGATGATGCTGATACTGATGCTGATGCTGCTGCTGCTGCTGATGATGATGATGCTGATGCTGATGATGATGCTGATGCTGATGATGCTGCTGATGATGATGATGATGATGATGATGATGATGATGATGATGATGAGCGAAAGGCAGGACGATGAGCGAAGCAGGAGGGGGAGGCCTCTTCTCCCCCCTTCCCCCTCTCCTCCCCTCGTTCTCCTTCCCCTTCCCCCCTCTTCTCTCACCTGTTCTCCTGCGCCCCCTGCCTCCTCCTATGCCTCCGCCCGTGTGGGGGGCGCTCCCTGGACATGCCCGCGCGCTCCCCTCTGAGCATCGGGGTCTCGAGAAGCCCCCCTCCCTCGCCCTGACCTCACTCCCCCGCACCCCAAACTTTGGACTCCGTGGAATCACGGCAAGAGGTGCGACGGGACACCCGCCGCAAGATTTCGGCCTCGGGGGGCCCTCGCCGCGGGCCCTGGAGGACCACCAGAGCACCACCAGGAGGAGGAGGAGGAGGAGGAGGACGAGGAGGAGGAGGAAGAGGAGGTGGAGGTGGAGGTGGAGGAGGAGGAGGAGGAGGAGGAGGAGGAGGAGGAGGAGGAGCACGACTCGGGATGAAACACCTGCCCTGGGGAATGGGTCGAGATGCCTGGGCGATTTCGGAAACCCGGAACCCAACAGCGCTTTCATCTCTTGGGGGCACATCTCTTACTTGCGCCGCCTTCCGCCGAGCTTCCGCCGGCCTCGTTTTACTTCCGCCGCCCTACCGCCGCCTACTGCCGAGGAGGAGATGACAGCGCCTTCGATCCTCGAAGGCAAGGTCCTTCTTAGAATGCCTCATCTGGGGGGCCGGCGTCGAGAACAAATCGTGACGCTGGGGTTGTGTTGCTCCCATCGTACTTACAAACTACACCACAGAAATATGTTCGAGCACCCGGAAAAGTGTCGAAAGAGTGTCCGAAGCAGTGCCTCCCAGGGCCCCACACGTGAAAACCCTTCGGCTTCGGTGCTCTTTGGGCGCTCGACATTCCTCCTCGTGGTCGAGGCCACGAGAAGGTTTTGGAACATCCTGACGCTGGGGGCCCGGGAGCGGCGAGCGGGGCCCGGTCGCTCCGCAGGGGGCAGCCACCTGCCGAACCGCCGTCGGCAGCGGCCCCCCGCCCCCGCCCCCGGGGGCCGCGCTGCGCCCCGGCCGCGGCGACGAGAGGCCCCCCCGGGGGCGCCCCCGAGGCCTCCGATCGGCGAGGGCGTCGTCGCCGTCCCGCTCCAGGCAGCCGACGTCCGTGGGAAAAAACACACAGAGTGTGTTTTTCACGGAAGAACGCACGTGGGGAAAAACACGCACGTGTGTTTGTTACCTAACAGCGAAGACTGATAGGTTTCTAGTGGTCTCAAAAGAGAGCAGCAGATGACTCCACAGGGGGGTCCGGGCGGGACCCGGGGCGGCTGCCGTCGAAGCCCAAATCGCCTGGGACATCCTCGCAAAATCGCTCTTGGCGCTGCTAGAACTCCATTCCCGGCGTACATTTTGGATGCCCGGAGCCAACTGTAGGCCACTTCGTGGTCTTCGAGTTCCCAGAACTCCATTCCCGGGCCACATTTTGGATGCCCGGAGCCAACTGTAGGCCACTTCGTCGTCGTCTTTGTCGTCGTCTTTGTCGTCTTTGTCGTCGTCGTCGTCGTCGTCGTCGTCGTCGTCGTCGTCGTCGTCGTCGTCGTCAGCGTCGTCGTCGTCGTCGCCGTCGTCGTCGTCCGTCGTCGTCGTCATCCGCCGTCGTCCGTCGGCCGTCGTCCGTCGTCCGTCGTCCGTCGTCCGTCGCCGCCGCCGTCGTCGTCGTCGTCGTCGTCGTCGTCGTCGTCGTCGTCGTCGTCGTCGTCGTCGTGGTCGTCGACGTCGTCGTCATCGTCGTCGCCGCCGCCGCCGTTGTCGTCGTCCTCCTCCTCCTCCGCCTCCTCTTCCTCCTCCTCCTCGCCTCCTCCTCCTCCTCCTCCTCCTCCTCCTCCTCCTCCTCCTCCTCCTCCTCCCCCCATCCCATCTGGGGGGGGGGGGCCCGATGACCCTGCGACCCATCC